TATAGATGGCTAGGCAAGTGATGGCGTGGAAGAAGGCCGTGCATTATGGTTGGCCTATTAGTATAAAGAATGCATGCGTTGTTTACGGGTGTGTAGGCGTTAATTACGCTCGTGTAGATGTAAAATTACGCCCGTGCTGACGTAAAATTACGCCTGTGTAGGCGTAAATTACGCCCGTGAAGAAGTAAATTCTACGGGCGTTCAGAATACATTTACAGGCGTGAACTTACGGCGTTTAAATTATTAATTACGGGCGTTAAGACTGTTATTTTACACGCGCTGAGAAACATCTTCACGCCCGTGGAGTTTATTTTTAGCGCCGTAAATTATAAACCAATCAGAACCTTACTTACATGATGATTTAATGCATCCTTGCTAAAAGAGCAACTCCGAGATACTTGCACTTGTAAACAACAATCAGAAGCCTGCTTACATTTTAGTGTGTTGCATTGAGGTCCTTAAATATTCGTTCAAGATTGAACTAGATTTAACCAAAGAGAATTTTTAGTAAATCATATTAAAAGGCAAATTGAAGAGACGTGTACTGTGTTGGCAGTTATCAACACCCATTGTAGAAACGACAAAATTGCAGAATATTTTGAGAAGGTATACATGTTTGGTTTCTAAATACGATGATTTTTGGATAATTCTCCAATCTAGGCGTCGGCTTCAGAGGTAGGCTATTAGGTAGAAAGCAACTTACTTTTTCACCCATTGGAATACATGTAAAATTGGCAAAGTTCAAATCATAATTTCTCAAATCCCAGCCCATCGAATCCTCACATCCATTCAGATCATGTAGTCCTATTCAAAAACTTCCCGTTCGGTTATATGGTGAAAAAAATATCCCACGAACGAAAAAAGATTTTGCTACATTTATAAGCGAGCATTGATTTCTGGGCCTGTAAAAAGCACGTAGGACCTGATTACCCCATTGATTTACTGAGACCGCCAAAAATATAATTCAATTTTTTGGTTCAAAATAATAATCTGTCAGCGGTCCCCGACACTCCTACTAGCTATCACCAAACATTAATTGCCAATACATGTACACATATACGTGCCATATATCTACAAAGTAGCGAACTAGTGTATTAAGTACTACTTTTCCTATACGATGAGCAAAACAAATCTCAAGTAGGTTATATTGACCCCTAGGTAGGGACTTATTAAGCTCACATGCATTGCAGCTTACAGTCTCATTATACAGTCAGATCGCTAGTGTATCCCTCTAAAGGATGTGTCCAGATACTAGAATTATAGTATCTGATCAACTGCAAATTGACTCTAGACTATATCCTGCAGATGTGGCATTTTTTGAAAATGTACTGAAAATGTCAAATGAGCCTATATACCTAGTATACCTAGCCAACATATGTTCAAATTTGGTGTTAGGGAGATGTGTACTTTTTGGAATCTTTTAAAGCAGCCGTCTTTATATGTCACATGTTATTTCCAGGAATACATAACTCATTTAATATACGATGTACATCTTTCACATTTGCACAAATAGTGCACCGAGATACCCAGAAAAGAAATAATATTTCATATGCCTCCAATTGCAACAGTTGTTCCTGGCACAATCATGAGTATGTTATTAACTTGCACAAGGATCTTGGAGTTGTACTTTTAGCTATAATGCATCGTGTCATCATGTAAGCAAGATGCTGATTGGTTCATAATTCACGGCGCTAAAAGGAACTCGACGGGCGTATAGATGTTTTTCAACGGGTGTTAGATACTGTCTTGACGCCCGCTATTGAACATTTTGACGCCGTTAGTTTACGCCTGTATTTGTTTTAACGCGTATAGAATTCACTTCTTAACGGGCGTAATTAACGCTTTGACGGGCGTAATTAACGCCTACACAGGCGTAATTAACGCCTACACGGGCGTAATTAACGCCTACACACCCGTAAACAACGCATGTATTCTTTATACTAATAGGCCAACCATAGTGCATCTGGGGGTCCGGGGGCATGCTCCCCTTGGAAAGTGTTTGTCATTGAAGACTTTATTTGGTGCAATCTGAGCGTTTTTAAGGACCATAAATAGTTGTTTTCTGATATAAAATAGCATTTTTGAAGTTTCAAAGAGGAATCTTATTAAAAAAATCTAGTCGGTTTCAGCACCCAACGCATCCTCCCCCCTCCCCCTTTCTGATGCCCATATTATGGTGGGTGTACGAGTGGACAGGCTCGTAGTCTCTCGTTTTCAAATCTAAACAGTCTGGGACCAGGCTATATAGTGATCTGTCGTCTCATTTTCAAGGTATTGGAATAAATCCTTATTGTTGGCCAAATAAGGTTAAAAATGAGACTATTGGGCACAGGGTTTGGATTTATCATTAGAAAGGTGAAGTGTCAAAAGTAAAGATGAAATAACACCAATAATTTCAAACTCAACTATTTTTCCACATTTTTCAGAACTTTTGTTTTAAAAACGTTTTACTCATCAGATGATATATATATACCTATAAATTGGATTTTAAAGAGGTCAAAATGCTCTGGTGTTATAAGGTTGGTTCATGAAATGACGTTGGCGTAAAAACACAAAGTATGTCTTCAAGATCTATCGATATGCTCTTGGCCTCGATTCAACTGGTAATTTAATTATTAATGATTTATCTCGATAGAATTTGATGACATGATTTGATCCTTCTAGTGTTAAACGATACTTTATCGAACTTGTATCGTTTTTAAGTGGTGCATTATTTTTAGCATTGAAATACAGCAAAAATATCAAGCTATTTCCACTTTTGATCTTAGTTTATGTTATTTGATAAACCTTGATATTTATTTCTATTTTGTGCTCAACAATATATTATTTTCATGTTGTCCTTTTTCAATTGAAAAGGAAATATCTTTATTGGTCGATTGTTATGTTTCTTTTAATGTAACCAAATACACGACACTCCTTCTAAAGGTCTGCTACCGGAAGAAGTTCCACGCCTGGAGGATGATAGACCCTTATTGTATTGTATTGTATTGTATTGTATTGTATATCTTCATTGCCCATAATATAATAAAATGGAGATATACAATTTATATGTCCAGTAATGTAAAATAAAAGTACAAAATTATATACATGCTAGATGTATAAAAAACTATTCAATGAGCAAAATCCTCGCACGGTTGAATCAGGCACTGTAAGTGTCTCAAACACAGTCACTGTTAGACCGCGCTTTATATTGTTTGAAAATATAGATGATAACACTTACCTTTTGTTGTACATTTTGTTGAATGCCATTATGTATTACTTGGCCCGACCCCACTGTCTTGCTGATGATATATGTGATATGGGCGTTAGCAATTTGTATTGATAAGTACCAAAACGCAGTGCGCCTTTGCTCGTCTTCTGAAAACAGAATATAGAGTTCCGTCCCATATTTTAAAGTGTTATTGTTATTGTTCGCAATGTCCAATTTAAAATGAAATGCTTGGTCCGAAGAGAACCTTGTAAAAATATTTTTACTAAATTGTTCCATGCCAGGAAATGGAGTATCGAGTTTAATTAATGGCTGTCTATCCTCCTTGGGAGGTATCTAATAAATACATATAAATACATTACAAACCATTTAATTTCAGAAATACTTACCTAAACAATGATTCGACCATGACTATTTTGCCTTCTTAGTAGGCTAAGACTTGTCTTTCCATCCTTATTCACGTATACCTTGTCTATGCTATGATTGCAGTGCTACTCTTTCCGAGACCTGGCAGGGTTCCAGCATAAAAATTATGGCGAAGAAAATTGATATATCCCATAGATCTTTTTGTCTGTATGTTTTCGCTAAACGATTCTGGATTGGCCAAAACAGCATCACAGGATGCCTGCAGAATTCAATTGCATGATATACATGCGATATAATTAACTTTCGATCAACTCCTCAACAATGGATTAAGAGTCTAGTATTGTTCACGTCAATCCTTTTTAATCTACTTCCTCATTCGGGGAAGTTACCTACGAACGAATCATATACATATAGTCCGTATTTTATAAATGCAATACTTCCATATTCGGGAAAGTTACCTACAGGGTGGTCCAACGAATGATGTACATCCGGATGTACATATAGTCGGTATTGCTTATAATAAATACATACTTCCATAGTCGGGTTGTTCAGCGAATCATACACCTACAGTCAGTCTTAATGCTTCCAAATACTTCCATATTAGGGGAAGTTATCTACAGTTTGGTCCAACGAATTATGCACATATAGTTAGTTTTGCTTATAGATACTTCCATATTCGGGGAAGTTACTTACAGGGTGGTCCAATGAATTATGCACATTGCTTATAAATACGTCCATATTTCGGGAAGTTACTTACAGGGTGGTCCAATGAATTATGCACATTGCTTATAAATACGTCCATATTCGGGGAAGTAATCTACATTTTTGTCCAACGAATCATGCACATATACAGATATAGTCAGTATTGTATATAGATACATACTTCCATTTTTTTAATTTCGAGCCTAGTTTTTAAGAGATTTGGCCCAAAATTCAAAACTGTGTCCAAAACATTTTTCACAAAATCGCAAATATTTTTGGGCCCCCGTCCCTTCTGATTTCGCCCCTGTAACACTGGACCTCTTCTAGTTGGGGGTTTTCAATCTAACAATGGACTTTGACTGTTTTGGCTACCTCTCTAATGTTTCTTTGACACAGTTTTTCGGATTCAAAATGTGGCTGTTGACAGTGTTCAATTTATTTTTAGAGAACAGTTGAATTATTTTTCTGAAACCCCAATCAAGATCTGTTTGTATTTTAATTGTTATTATTATATTTCTTTGGAAGCAAATGTGTGACCCCGGGATGTGATCCGACAACACTTTGGACCCGCCTTGCAAGTTACACAGAGTCACGTTTGAAATCTAGGCTTTTGTTATTGGGCTTTTAACTTTTAATTCGTTTACACTTAATTTCAATTTGGTTATTCATGAAAAGTAATATATAACAACATTTCACATCTTTTGTAAACATAATATATACTAGTATTTATTTCAAATGATTGTTTTCTATGTAACTACTAAGTACTCGTGCTGTTGATTTCCTTGCATTGTTCAAATATCAACTCTAAATCGCTCAAACTCAAATCCGATTAACTCCATGGATATAATTTTTTTTCCAAAATATGTTGTATATGGGGTGTACAAGGGAACAAAAAATAATTCGATCGATGACAAAGTTATTACGTTTCATAAAGTCGATGAATAGCCATTTTCAATAAAACCTGCCATCGTTTGATGTAGTTGATTGCATGGCTTACTGGAAATGCCATTATTTGAAGTGAATCAATTATTATTTCATGACAAGTTCAGCCGGTGGATACATGTGAAATAGTTGACATAATAAAGGACGGGAATAATGGTTGATAAAATTATTATTTCAAGATTTCTTTGTTTTCTTTATTTTACATTTGCCTTTCTTGCAATATCCCGATTTGCATTGATCATTCCTAAAACAATGTTCACCCAAGCCGAGAGGCTTTCTACACCTGTTTTCACTTGTGCAAACCCTCTTTTCTCCACAATGTTCATTTATGCCGCACGTTTTGCAAAGATGGCCGATGCAGTGTCCACTGGCGCACCAAGTATCATCTTGACACAACTTGTTATTCTTAAGGGCAGGTTTACATTCGTTTGTAACGTTGAAGGACCCGCTTCCCCTGCAATGGTTATCACCCTCGCAATGTGTATTCAATATGCAATCTCCACAAAGTGTATCACAAAACCCACCGCTCCCTGACGAGCTACCCGAACATTGCTGAAATATGAAACAGACATACAAATAGATAGTGAATCGTATATCAAGTAAAACAATGATTTTGCAGTTAAAAACGATTGATAGATTAGTCTGCTGAAAGCATGTATTTTATGTTTTTTACAGCAATTATAGAAACACAATCCAATACCAATGGAGCGTGCAAGGGTGCATTGTAAGTACCTATTATAGAATTTTTCACATATTGACTTTATAATATTTCTGACAAACAAACAATCTACAAAATGGGGATCAGAATGAAACTGAGAGTGTTATGCTTAAGATCGAACGATGAGGCTATTTCACATTTAAACTGTGTGCTTGTGTAGGGGTTATGAGGAGTCATCACACAGATGCCACAGAAGGTCAAAGACAGTAAAAGTTCAAGGTCACCAGTTTGATTGAGAAAGACAGAAAACAGTAAGCTCAATAGAAATCCGACCCACCTCATTCCTTTCACATTCATTTCCTTTCTTGATTTTCTTCGCGCATTCATTAACCACATTACGTTTCTTTAATCCTTTACAAAATGCGCCTTTCTCTTCGCAATCTCTATCTTCCGCACAATACCCGCATATACCAAGGTCATCTCCTGGTGGTATGCCGCACTTCTCTGAGGTACACATCTGTTATACACAAAAAATTAATATGAGAACGTGATAACAAAACTCCACTCTCCGTTTGACAGCATGTTAACAATGTATTTTAAACTCTTGGAGGGAAGTTTATATCAATAAAAAAGCGATTGGAGTTAATAGAGAAGGGTGTATGAACTACCATTTTTGGGCCCGCCCTGTAAACTACTTAAATCTTTTATACCACCGAATACAAGTAAAATAAAAAAAGACATACAATTCGATTTAAAATATATGAGTTTCATGAGTATAGGTTTTCTTACTGCATTTCTTATACAGTTTTCTCCAATCTGGTGTTTTTCCTTGCAATCATTCACGACGTCTGGTTGGCCAAACCCATCGCAATACATGTCTCCACACTCTTCATCGTTGAAGCAGTTGCCACACAAACCTTCCGCACACTTGTTGGACGAGCATTCCTTTTTTAAATTAAAACATTTATGAGAATCTACAGTTTATTATTTCGCTGAAAATCTTGCAATTATATGATTGGTCGAAATCGGGTCACGTGTCATGAAAAATCTAGCGATGTTCACCGGTCACGCTTGCTTATCAAATTCGACACACGGTGAATATTAAGCATATTCACCGCAAAAGCATGTTCACCGTTACCGCTATATTAATTGAAAATCTGACACTACTTACACAAAAATTCAACAAGAAGTTCAATTAATTTTTTTACTGAAAGTGACTGGGAAAGGTATTTATTTGCAAGATGTGCAAAGACGAAAACTGAATACAAGATTAGAAAATTTTTGTGAAGTTGGAAATAAAGATGGGAGAGTATCGATACTTCGCAACCGAAATGCCAAGGAAAATTCCAATTCAAACCTTACCTAAAAGATGCCCAGGTACGTATTTACCTCAACAGCATGAAATATTTTTAAATTGAAATTATTCAATAGATATTTGACTAGATAAGGCCATAAATAATGTGTTAATTTAATGCTCACTTACAGCATTTCTGGTGCAGTTTTCTCTATTCTGTTGTTTGACTTTACAATCATTCGCAACATCTGGTTGACCAAATCCTTCGCAATACATGGCGTCTTCACACTCTTCGTCATTGATGCAATTGCCACACAAACTTTCCACACACTTATCTGACGTGCATTCCTTTATTAAATGTAAAAGCTATTAATTTTTGTATATTCTTTCAATAAGTTTTTGTATGCCTTGTTCTGTGTTTTAAATTCAATACTGCCCATATATTTACGATGAAAGGTGTTCCATATATACAAAAAATGATAACCTACTTTTTTAGTAAGAAAGATTTCGGATTAGCAATTTCAGAAGCAAGCGATAAGTTAGAGATGAAGGGCAGGGATGATTTATTCCTTATGGAACAACACCCTTTTAACTGTAAGGCAAAATAAAAACTTTTATTGCTACTTTTTTGGCAATTTCAGAAGCAAGCGATAATTAGAGATGAAGGGGCGTGGTGTATCAGAATGCATATATGGTTCTTTTCAAATTAACCTATAAATCACAAAATTAAAAAGGAAGTAGTCCTGATGGAAAGGAAAGAGTTACCTGATCTCTGGAGCAATTCTTCCCGAAATCTTTCTTACTAAAACATGTCTTGAAAGGATTGCCATTCATACTGTCGCCACAGAATGATTGGTCCTCTGTACAGTCTTCGTCAATAATGCAATCAAAGCAAACATTGCCGATGCATTTACCACTTGTACACATCTGAAAAAACTTAGGATTACAAAATGCTATACATATTCACGAAGAAGAACTAAACCATCGAATTCGCTTCGAAACTATCGGATACAGTACGATAGCTTATGGTTCAGGGGGGATGCATGGACCATGCTCAATGTTAACTTTTTTACTCAAAGCAAGTTTTAACGTTAACCTTGTTGATGATTTATTCCTTATGGAACAACACCCTTTTAACTATAAGGCAAAATAAAAAGAGCGTCTTGTGATTTACGCTTGTTCATGCATATTATCGATATCCATTCGTGGATAAAAATCATATTACTTACTCATAAATCATAGGGCATCCTATATTGATGCATTATTTTTATGTTGCTGAAAATCAAGGCTAACAATGATCCACGACAAATTATGTATATGTTTGATAGAAATGATGCTTTTCACTCCCACATATAATTATCTAACTGTATTTTAACTAGTGACCTGTGTTTTTGTAGAATCCATTTTCTTTTATCTGCGAGTTATATGTTTTTCTATTGACATTAATTGCTTATTACAAACCTCATTTCTCCGGCAACGTGTTCCGGCGGATTGTTTTTCGCTGCAGCGGTTATATAGAACATTATCCCTGTCCTGGGTACTTAAACAAAACAGTGACGTCCCATCGCATTTGTCGTCCGCGTCACACTCAGAGCAGAAGTGCCCTATACACAACCCGGATGCACACATCTACAGTATATACATGAGATAATGTATACTTTAGGGATCAGTAAACCTAAACATTTTCTCTATTTGCATATAGCAAACAAACATATCTAGTGTTCGTACTTAGTAAATCAAAGTAATTGGTCCAGATCGAATTCAATTGATGTTTTTCGAATCATCAAGATATTTTAAGTGTTTTTCTTAAACATCTCTATATTGATTTTATTGCTGAAATTAAAAAAAATTAATTTGAACTTGTACAAATGTTGTGCGTGTGGTGTCAGTGTGACCATAAAGCATCTCGCCATGCAATGACTTTAATTTAAAGGGAAGCTATGCCCAAATTTTTTATGTTGTATTTCGAATTCCTTTGTGTAATTTTTGCAATGTTGTTAAACCTTAAAAAAAGATGTAACAGTAAATAAAACAAGTAGACAGTGCGATATTCATGTGTCACGCCCTCTGATCTCTCTAGTATGAGTACAATTAAAGTATCAGCAACTACATTCGATAATTTCAATATATGATATTCGCGAATATATTCCAATTCCCTTCCTATGATAGTATATATATTGAAAATGACTCCTGTATGGGTGAAATGTCCTTTAGTGGTTTTGGATTGTGATAAAATATGACACCCTACCTGATAACGGGTACATGTTTCTCCATTTTGTCTTGCTGGGATGCACCTTATGTCACAGAATTCACCCGAAGAACAGTCCGGGTCGTTTCTGCATTCAACGCACCTACCAGATTGGCATTTACCACTTATACATGCCTATAATGTGATTATGATGCAATATAATACATGTACATGTATGTACATGTCTATGTTGTGTACAGTGGATATGTATGAGTAAACAAAGGGCATTGACATGCAAAATGTCACCACCTGCCATTTGTTACAGACGCCAAACACTGTCCACAAAAAAGTTTGAGACTATAACAAGATATCAACACTTGTGGTGGTGACATAACAATAAAGACACGGTACTCGAGTCCACGTACTCTTGGCTAAGACGCCTTCGCCTTGCTTGACGTAAACTTTGATACACCAGTAATCATATGTTATTTTGTATGCTCATGAATGCTGTTCTCAGATCAAACCATATAAACTCATGACTTCCTTTTAATTGTTATAAGTGTCTTCTCCATTCACTACCTGATTTCTTGTACATGGTTCGTTTGTAGATTGTTTTAGGGAACATTGATTATAAGTAAAATCTCCCGCATCCCCGGGAGTTGCACAAAATCCTCCTTCACAATCACTGTCGGTTGCACAGTTTACACATATATTTCCAATACACTTGCCACTTTTGCACGCCTAGATTGTCAAAAAGTGAAATAATACAGGTGTTATCCTTTGAGTGTGGTCGTAATGGTGCCCTTGGATAAATTTGAAAATGATGGACTCTTACCTCTTTTTTATTTTCAAATTGTGGAGTATATATTATTTTTTACTCATTATATGGACACAATTATAGGACACACTACTCTGTCTTGGATATGCCTATTGTACACGATTCACTCAGCCAGGCTGTCACACATTTATAAAACCCAATAGCATTTCACTGGTCATGACTAAGGGGCTCAACACGATGGCGTATTATCTATGTAAGTCATTCCCTATGTAGTCATATGTACTTACACCATCTTATTCGGACCTTTTCCACACATTGGTGTTCCAATATGTCGCATGTTTTGTATATACCGTTTGTAAACAATTGCATTTAGTTTCTTGAATAGGTATTTAAAAAGATCTTTTCTAATTTAAAGCCTACCTCATCTGTCTCACAGCTTTCGGCCTCTTCACCAGCTTCTCTACATTGATATAAGCCTTGGAAGCAAAATTCATGTCTGTCTTCATCACAATCCGAATCGTTTCTGCATTGAACACATTTTCCATCGAGACATATTTCACTCGAACATTCCTGAAAGTAGTTTTAGATCTAGACGACGAAGATAGTTGCATCCTCAGAGGATCGTCCATAGAGATAAGCATACTATTATTTGTCGGGAAAGAAACTTATTGGTTTTAAATGATTTGGGCGATGTAGCAATTGCACTTACTATATCATTTTTACAATCGTCATCAAGGTCAACTTTATCTTCACAATAATTCGGTTCAACTTCCGACTCCGCACAATACTCAGTTTTACCACAGTCCTCGTGTATGAAACACTCACCACACAACCCATTGGTACACTTCTCCGAATTGCATTGCTGAAATCAAATTGCATTTTCAAATGGCGTTGCTGAAGTCAATTTTCTGATTGAAAAGAAGTGCGATTCTTTGTCATATTTTAACTTTCTATCGAGTTTGGAAAAGTTCCTTTAACATTGTTCTGCCAATTCTGTGCAAGGTCATGGTTAAGTGCGAGGTCAATATGAGAAAGTGCAAGATATTGTTCGGTAATTTTTTACTCCCTAAACACTTACTTGATTTCTCTTACACATTTCTCCAATAGATTTTTTCATAGAACACTGACTGTACTTGTACTGTTCACCATCCTCAGGTTTGGCACAATATTCTCCAAAACAGTCATCGTCAGATGTGCATTCAACGCATACACTTCCAACGCACTTGCCAGTTTCACATAACTGTGTATGACAAATATATCATGGTTAGCTATTTCAATTTTAGCCCACTCTCATTCCTTGTCTGACCCTTTGCTTTTACATTACGAAGAAAGATCCATAAAATAGCACGAATTTAAAAATTAAGAAGTGAGACATGCATTCTACTTATTCAAACCTCATTCATTCTTCGAATTCCAACCTTTCTGGTTGCGGGAAATGGTCAGAAGTCGATGCCCTTTTCAAATGTACTCACATTTTGGTCATGAGTAAGTCCTACACTCTTACCTCATTACGTTCGCAAACTTCTCCTGCAGGCCGGACCTTTTCCACACATTGGTGTTCTAATAAAATGTCGCATATTTTGTCTTCTGGACAATCGGTTGAAGCAGCGCATTGAACACATTTGGAATCGATACATATTTCACTGCTACATGCCTATAAAAGAGTAAATGAATAGTCCACAACTCTTAAAAAGACCGTGATGTACTTGTAGACTACTATGTATGAGTGCACATAAAAGAACACAGGGCTTCTCCGAGGAGGGGTTCTTGGGTCTGCCTCCAGGGGTCTGCCTTCCAAGATTAGGCGTTAATTACTACCGTATATATACGGGATATACCTAAGAGGTATCGCTCACCTTCATTGATGGTAAACAATGTACAATACAATACGATACGATACAATATAATACAATACAATACAATACAATACAATACAATACAATACAATACAATACAATACAATACATTACAATGGGTGGACTGCTGTTTTCTTCATTAATTTATAGATGTGGCCTCCAATGCATAATCGTGATATCTTCAATAAATGGTGTATTATCAATATCAGCCATGCTCTATTATATGTAGCCCCATGTACTTACACCATTGCTTGTGCAATCTTCACCATATTCAAGTTTATCTTTACAGTCACTTGGTTCACCGGGTGATTCCATGCAGTACTTAGATTCACCACAATCCTCGTGTGAAGAACAGTTGCCACAGAATCCATTTGTGCACTTGTCTGATTTACATTCCTTTTGATAAAAGTAAAATAAGTAACATTAATCGATTCAATTGATTGATTGGTACAAATACTATTATATGGTCAGTTCAAGTGTTATCTATATTTCGGGGGATTCGATTAAAGCGATTGAGATCTGATTGAGAACTGGTTAGTTGAGTAAGTACAGTTTCCTAAATGTCACAATCCTCCCTGTACTAAATCATGATTGAAAGTGTAGAACCGAACACAGATATAATATGTTAATCGTCAAAATCGGACAAGAAATACCAGAGATATACTTAATAACAGAAAAAGACCTAAGACCATGTTAACAGTAGTAACATATAGTTGCCATGGAAACAAGCTGATTTCGAAAAACCGGGCTACGAATTTTTAAAAAATGTTCATTTCTGAAATCTCAGTCAACAGGTTTAAATGGTGTATTTTGTGTAGTGTACAATTTCGTGCATTCAGTTTCTTTGATTTCGTGGATCTGTAGGCCTAGAGAAAGGAAATGTTAGCATATGCATGTGTTATACGTACCTTACCACTCGAACACGGTTCTCCATATGCCTTGTACATAGGAACACATTTATGATACTTAAAAGTACTTTCATCAGTTGGTGCTTTGCAAACGTGGTCAGTTCTGCAGTCTGAAGTAGTTCGGCATTCACTACATACACCCTCAACACATTCTCCACTTTGACAAAACTAAAATATGCGTTATATGCAATTGTCTTATGAGGAAATGAAAATGAAAATGTAACATGTGAAAACTGTAATTATGTACCTAAACTATATTCCTCGAAAGATGACAAATATACTATACGTGAATAATTTATGTTGGATTAACTCTACAAAACCATGAAAACAAAGTGTCTCTATATGCCATTCCTTATATATGCTGAATATTTGTTTTATTTACCACTGCTTTTGGTTATGGGATATATTTTCAAAATTATGAATGTCCAATTTACTATTATTTCCACTGAAAATCTGAACAGTAGAGCTTTGAAAATACCACAAAATAAAAAGCTCAAAATGTTTGCAGTTTTTCAACAACATTTTTCATTTAGATATTTTCTTTGAGATCGAAATCCAATGAACTTTCCAGAAAACGACGATATACCCAAGATCAACAGAGTTTCCGGGAATGTACTGGATATTTAGAACTTTACAAACTTTTCTTCTAGACAAATAAACCTTCGTATTTGTTATAGTTAAGAAATAACCAATTTTTTTTATTTGCCCATTATTCTAAATATATAGCAACGATATAAATAGTTTAACAATTATAGCAATATGGAGTACTCATTCCAATTCATAATAACATATGATAGGAAACGTGATGGATACAATACACGTAAACATATACAGGTAGAGGATGTAATAATTATTAGAGTAAACTGCATTTGTTTGTATATACTTAAGCATTTTGTATACACATGACAAAGTAAGAAAATATATTGAGCAATGACTGCCCAATGAACAGTAATTAATATGTTTATTGTTTGTATTGTACCTTCTTCAAATGCTATTACTTTTTCGACTAGACGACGTTTAGCATATTGTATCATAGCATTTAATACATCTATGCATGATCTAAACTATGTCAAAGAATATATGTTTTACGGGATGGTAACAAGTGAACTAAGCTTGTATTCGCGAATGCAAATAACGGCCGTCAGCTACCGGATTAACCTACTATTTTATGACCGACTGATCATTTGAATATGAATGGAATAGCGACATGTACTATTCATATTGAAATGAGTTGCCCATAAATTAGTAGATTAATCCGGTAGCTGATAGACGAAAGTTGCATTCGCCAATAGCTAAGTCCCTGATTGTGATTCACCTCCAACTATTAGTTCATAAAACACTTGGAATTGCATACGTACAGTCGAATTGCTATGTAGTTTAGTAATAAACATTTTAATAAATAAATTCAATATACATGTACATGATGTGCATGAACACATTGTGACGTTACTTTAGATATCAAAACTTACTCTGTCCTCCGCACACTCAAAGCTATTGGATAATTTCCTGGTGCATTTACTGTTTGCGCAAACGTGGGTTGCTCTACAATCATTATCAGAAGTACAAAGGGCGTCTTTTCCTTTGCAAGCGGCGGTGATACAGGGCATGTGACGGCAATATCCATTCTTTATGACGGAAGAGGGCCATCTGGGTTTCTTTAGATAAGATCAATATTATAAAACAAATTGCCATGCCAAATATTTATTTTTTATTCTATTTATTTATTTCACATATCATCCCTTAAATGGTATACAGAGTATTTTAAATCTTTACTATAATCTTATTGAATAAACATTATAACAATATTAGTTATACACTAACATTGTTCTAAACATTAACGTATAACTCAAAGAAAGCCTGATCGTAATGGTATATGTTTTTTCTCTTTAATCTTAACTATATTGCTTTCTTTTATTCGAGCATATTTAGCATAAAATTTAAAATAATTGTTCGAACTTCAAGGAACTTGTGAACATATTCTAATTGATAAATCATGTTTATTGTTTTTATAGCAGGGTATTTAAGACAGTGGTTAATTCAACATGTTGGAAAATAAAAATTGAAGCTTCCTACCTTAACATATGTACAATAAACACAATTGTATTTGATTAATTAGGTTTATTACTTTATAACAGGATATTTGAAACTGTGGATATATCTATCGTTAAACTATCGAAACTATCCCAATGAACGTTAATCTATCGTTATATCTCATCGATTAAAATACAAATAAAAAGACATGATTTTATTATAACATTTTCAATATTTTCTCCACAATTATGTAAAATGAGTGTAAATTGGATTTATTAGGTTTATTGCTCACCAGTTCTACAGGGTCGAAGAACAATCTCGGACACCCACAACATCTACGGTCTCTGATGTTACATCTTGGCATTCGTCTTGAACAATCTTCATATCTAGGCACCCCTTAAAATGAGTAGCAGGAGGTATCAAATACAACACTATGCAAATAAATACTTAAAAAATATGTCAAATTTCATATTAATTTTATGTTTGTGAAACGCCATGTTTGGTAGCCTAGTAATAATAGCTTTTCAATGAAGCCAGATTGAGAAAATAAAAAATGATGGTTTCACCCAGAACGTTTAAACCTATATTTAATATGAGAAATATAGAGATTTCTGCTCCGAACACATTCCATTTAAAACACATGTAATGTCTTTTTCATCTCGAAGAAAAACTTAATCTAACCTACAAAGAATGGGTATCGATATGGCGAACTTTTTGAACACACGTTTCTCTTAAACCAGTCATCAAAAATTTCTGAAAATCTTACAAATTGTCAATTTAATGGCCATCTTTTGAATGGTAACAATATAATTTGAAATAGATACATACTTTCATCTATATTGTTTTAAAAAACACATCAAACACTTGTTTTGTTCTTGGTATCATGTTTCCAGAGTAAAATGAAACATCTTTCCGAACTTCATTGGAACAAAACGACATAAACACAACATGTTTAGGTCTCTCAATATTGTAATTGTACAAAGGAAATTTAGGTTGATTTTAAAAAAGTATCTTGTTAATGAAATAAAAGGTTTTTCTTGATTTTTATTTATTTTGGGGGGATTTTGTTTTAATTTTTGAATACTTTTTTAAAATCAACCAAAAATTCCTTTGTATAACTTTAATATTGAGAGGTCTAAAAACATGTTTTATATGCTATTTTGTTCCAACAAGGTTCGGAAAGACATTTTATTTCATTCTCAAGAATTGGTAGAAAGGAACAAAAACAGTTATATGAAATATTTCAAAATAATTTTCGCATTAAATTGTTGTCAATCAGTCAACATTACATAAAATACCATGTTTTTTTACAGAATGTTTTCAATGATTGGTTTAAGAGAAAAACATTGTTGAATTCAGTTCTCGATATCGAAACCTATCCTTTCAATACTTGATTTCTATCATTTTGATTTATTGGTGTCTCAAATAGACCTTGAAATATTGACCTATTTACAGTAAAAGATCATACATGTATAAGAACAGCTTGAAAAAGTTGCCTAAAAATTATCAAATACTTTACTTACCTATTAAGATTGCAGGGTTCATTTTAAAATGCATGTCGTAACAATTACCTGTATATTGAGTTGATAAACTAATAAGATGAAAAGAGCAATTGCTAAAAGGAATGAAGGTGTTAACATGACATTGTAACAGTCAATTTATCATTGTGTAATTGTAAGCATCGTGGTTTATAAAATCGATAATATTTTTAATTCATTCATTATACTTACAATTATAAGTTACCCAAATATCCAATCAGTAAAAAGCCAAAATACTTACCTTGTGCGTTCACTATCAGAAATAATGTCATCAGGATGATGAGTTTAAAAGAATCCATGTCGGTTCTCCTAGTGTGGCGTACCGCTTGACTATTATAATTATACTAGCTTCATTTGACAATATTAATACCGGTTATCGTATTTATGATCATATTCGTAATCATAATCAACTTAATTGTTTTTACACCAGCATATTTAACGTTTTTTAAGATTTGTGAGATTGGTTATTATAAAATACTTATGCAATTTACGTAATGTATATCATAATATATGATGAATCGAATGTGGTAAAAAAGTAGTCACATAGCCTTTTTATTACATTCCTATTCTGCAAACGGCCGTAACTCCAAAAGGTACGTCCAAATGAAGTAATATCCTAGTATGAATATCACAGTAACTATTCAATAAAGACATAATATTTGCCATTGACCTTTGATTACATTTTAAGGATTTTCAATTCATCTTTATGAGTATTAAGTCCAGGTTTTGCATTGTCACGATTATTGCAAGCAATAGTTCTGTGCTTTCCAATTCTTGAGGCAAAAACGTTAAAAACGCAGCTAGCACAAAGGAAACAATTCTATTATCCAAAAACGTTCAAGAACACCGTAGGAAACAACTCCAATATCCCAAAAACATGCAGTTACCGCAGATGAAACAACTACAATATCCAAAAACGTTCAAGAACAAAGTAAGCACACAGGAAACAAATCCAATATTCAAAGACACTCAAGAACACCGTTAGCACAAATGAAACAACTCCACTATCCAAAGATTTTAAAGAAAACATGCAGTTACCACAGATGAAACAACTACAATATCCAAAAACGTTCAAGAACAAAGTAAGCACAAAGGCAACACATCCAATATTCAAAGACACTCTAAAACACCGTTAGCACAACTGAAACAACTCCAATATCCAAAAACTTCAAAGAAAACATGCAGTTAGCACAATATCCACAAACCTTAAAGAAAACATGCAGTTAGCACAAATGAAACAATTACAATATCCCAAAAACGTTCAAGAAAACATGCAGTTAGCACAAATGAAACAACTCCAATATCCCAAAACTTTAAAGAAAACATGCAGTTAGCACAAATGAAACAACTCCAATATCCCAAAACTTTAAAGAAAACATGCAGTTAGCACAAATGAAACAACTCCAATATCCAAAAACTTTAAAGAAAACATGCAGTTAGCACAAATGAAACAACTCCAATATCCAAAAACTTCAAAGAAAACATGCAGTTAGCACAAATGAAACAACTCCAATATCCAAAAACCTTAAAGAAAACATGCAGTTAGCACAAATGAAACAACTCCAATATCCAAACACTTTAAAGAAAATATGCAGTTAGCACAAATGAAACAACTCCAATATCCAAAAACTTCAAAGAAAACATGCAGTTAGCACAAATGAAACAACTCCAATATCCAAAAACCTTAAAGAAAACATGCAGTTAGCACAAATGAAACAACTCCAATATCCAAAAACTTCAAAGAAAACATGCAGTTAGCACAAATGAAACAATTACAATATCCCAAAACTTTAAAGAAAACATGCAGTTAGCACAAATGAAACAACTCCAATATCCAAAAACTTTAAAGAAAACATGCAGTTAGCACAAATGAAACAATTACAATATCCCAAAAACGTTCAAGAAAACATGCAGTTAGCACAAATGAAACAACTCCAATATCCCAAAACTTTAAAGAAAACATGCAGTTAGCACAAATGAAACAACTCCAATATCCCCAAACGTTAAAGAAAACATGCAGTTAGCACAAATGAAACAACTCCAATATCCAAAAACGTTCAAGAACACAGTGAGCACATTGAGGAAATAACTTCAAGACCCAATTTGAAACATTTTCAAGAGCACAGTTAGCACAAAGAAAACAAACCCTATTTTCAAGAACTTTCAAGAACACAATTAGCACAAAGAAAACAAACTCTATTTTCAAGAACTTTCAAGAACGCAGTTAGTACAATGGAAACAGCTCCAACATCCAAAAAACCTAACGTCCAAAGAAATAATCTCTATTACGACTTCACCCACCAATCCACGAACCATTATGGCTATCCAAAACCACAAAACCACGGGACATCTCATCCATGCGGCATTTGTCCTAATTACAATTCATAATGGAGAAGACCAGTACTCCTAGTCTAATATCAAAATGGCTGTGGATGCTAGTACCGTTACAACATAGATCAAATTGTATCAAATGTAATATGGGACAACTGAATCTGGTTTATTTATAAGAGTGTCAACGGGAAACCTCCATTTAAAATTGTTTTGAAGATATGCTCAAATATCTAATTTATTTCTTAGTTTTCCTTTACAGGTTCCTTTATCACAATTGTTTGATTTACATTCTTCATTCCTGTAACATGGTTTACCCCGACTTTGCAGTCTTTTACACTTGAACTCCGGCGAACATATCTTTCCTTCTGCGCAATGCGCGTCTTCTCCACAGACCCTGCAAAGATTCATGACACAATGTCCACTTGCACACCACGTGTCTTCCTCACACCAGTTGTTATTCTTGACGTCGGGTTCACATTCATTTGTAATTGTGGAGCCACTCCCTCTGCAGTGTGATCCACCTTCACAATGATCGCTCATTATACAATCACCACATACTGTATCACAATATCCTCTACCCCCAGACGAGCTATTCGAATTCGTGCATTGCTAAAATAAAAAAAAAGAAAGGGCTGTTAAACCACCTAGATGATTATCTCAAATAGTCAAATATTACTAGGAATAAGCTCTTTCGTGTATTACGTAAACGGTATGTTGCATCTTTATGGTATATTGAATATTACTTAAAATAAGTACTTTTGAAAAATGAAAAAAAATAATAATGAAAATCGACCTACCTCACTTCTTTCACAACCTCCTCCTTTCTTGATTTTCTTCGCGCATTCATTAACCACATTACGTTTCTTTAATCCTTTACAAAATGCGCCTTTCTCTTCGCAATCTCTATCTTCCGCACAATACCCGCATATACCAAGGCCATCTCCTGGTGGTATCCCACACTTCTCTGAGGTACACATCTATGGTTTGCATATAGTGGAAAGGAGGATTACAGGTGGAGTTACAACGGCTATTGACACATGTGAGGAATATCTTACCTTACGATCGCGAGTTACAAGTTTCTAGCTTCAAATCAAAATTAATTTTCTGTAATTAGCCATCGTCATATGCCATTCTTGTTTTAATTTCGTATGAACTTGAATTATAGATGGGGTTGCTGTGCAATTTGAAATCTTGTGTTAATGCTCACTTACAGCATTTCTTGTGCATATTTCTGCAATGCTATGTTTGATTTTGCAATCATTCACGACATCTGGTTGACCAAATCCTTCGCAATACATGGCGGCTCCACACTCTTCGTCGTTGAGGCAATTGCCACATAAACCCTCCCCACACTTATTGGACGTGCATTCCTTTTCAAATTGTACCATTTTAATATTAAAATCTGATAATGATACTATCCAATAGATACAGAGGCTTGATTAGATACTGAAAGATATGTGTAATATTTTATTGCCTCGTTTTCTCAAATTCTTACTTATTTTTTCTATGGATGATTATAAAATCTTACAGCATTTCTTATGCACTCTGTCCCAAATTCATGTTTAGGTTTGCAATCATTCGGGACACCTGGTTGACCAAATCCTTCGCAATACATGGCGTCTCCACACTCTTCATCGTTGAGGCAATTGCCACATAAACCCTCTCCACACTTATTGGACGTGCATTCCTTTTATAAAATGTAACATCCATTGATTTTTGTTAACATACATAACAAGGCGATCAATTACATGACATTGATAAACATGTTGCTACATTTTACTGGTCGATATTTCATCCCTGCTTCCTTTACAGTAAAATTCTTATTTACTAATGCACTGTTCAAATCAGTATAGCTTGTCTTGACGTTATCTTTTACCAACCTTGTAGATCTAATGCTAGATAAATTATAGTAAATAAAGAAATAACAAAACAAAAAAATTGGGTTCTTGCAATAAATAAACCGTTTATGTGGGATATTTCTATTACCTGATCTCTAGAGCAGCCATTGCCGAAATCTTTCTTATCGAGGCAGGTCTTAAAAGGATTCCCCTTCATTCTTTCACCACAGAATGATTGGTCCCCTGCGCAGTCTTCGTCATTGATGCAATCAATGCAAACATTGCCGATGCATTTACCACTTACACACATCTGGAAAAAATGGTTGACACTACCTGTGACACTTTAATAAAAACAATATAATTGATCTCTCACTACTTGTCTTAATTGATTAGATTATGCTTGAGGCTGATCATGACGACCTTAGAGAAATGAGTTTGGATTTTTGTAAATCATATAAAATGTCTTTACTTGATCTCTTGTACATATTGCTTCGATAGATCTTTTCATAGTACATTGGTTGTAATTGTATTCTTTGCCATCCTGGGGTGTGGCACAAAACCCTCCTTCACAATCCTCGTCAAATGCACAGTCTACACACATACTGTCAATGCATATGCCACTTTCGCACATCTAGCAAGCACAGAAATAATATTTTGAATGTCACAATTACTATTATTCCTTAAATATTTATTTCATACAAGAATTAATCGAAAATGTATATAAGAGCAGATGTATCTTACTAGTCTCCGCTTTCCCATATAGGCCTAAAATGAAATTTTAAAACTCGCCAGGCGATGCAACAATGCAGACCTTTCAAATAAAAACTTAATTTTTCTTGTTCCTGCCCATACCTTTTAACTGACAATTTTTATTCTACATGATTATCCTAGTCATACCTCATTCATTTCACACTTGAACCCAACCGCCTCAACAATTGGACTGCATTCTTGTCGATCACACATTTGGTTCCCTGGACAATCGGATGACACTTCGCACTGCGCGCATTTTCGATCGATACATTTATCACTTGTGCATTCCTAGATGAAGCAAAAAAGAGGAGGCTTTTTGTCCTGAGGGGATCTTTAGGAGATCTATGCGTATTGACATATTTGATGATACTGAATTTTCTTCAAAAACACGATTTCTACTGATAAGACTGCTGATATAGAATCTTGTAAGTGCGTGTGTTAAGGACTATGGTTAGTTTGTTAACTACAATGTGAGGTTTTAAGATATTGGTATTTTCTCACAAATCATTGAGACAAATATAAATAGCGACCCACTCGTGATAATACAAGCGAACGCCTCTGTATGAACTCCAAATCTCATTAAACAAAATACTAAAAAATGTGCATTTTTATTTGAAAAAAATCAATTTTGTGATTTACCAAATGTCTATAAAAAAATACTTACTTTGTTCTCAGAACACACAAGTCCATTAGACAATTTGTTGATACATTTACTGTTTGCACAAAACTGTGCATCGGAACTACAGTCGATATCAACTCTACATTGGGCATCTACCATAGGCCCTTTGCATGCGTCAGTGATACAGGGCATATGGCGGCAATATCCTTTTTGTATGACAGACGATGGCCATGTAGGTTTCTAACAAAAGAACAATAGAATGTTTATGTCACAGGTTTTTTAGTCCCCAAAATCCTCATAACTATCCAAAATAATGTTGTATAAAGAAACGGGTTCGAAAATAATATATATAAATACACAAAAATGTTGATTGTATTTGATAATTGCCCTCCTAAAGCTTACTCTACTCATCGGATCAGCGAACAATCTTGGACACCCACAACATCTACGATCCCTGATGTTACATCTTGGCATTCGTCTAGAACAATCTAAACATGAAGACATTTAATGCAAATGATACGGAATTAATAAACATAAGAGGCTCAATTCTTAAATATGAAAACGTGACCACATCAGGTGATAACCATCAGAATGTAACTGAATTTCAGAATGATCATTTTATTTCTATAAGATTTCCAAAAATATTTAAGGCAGAATCAGGTTTATGGAGAGTGACAAAAATTCAAGCATCATGTACAATTGACCAACTAATCAATGGATCAAATACAACATCTCCCCAAAGTTAGTAAGTTGAAGTTACTAAGGATCAAAACTGAAAAAATTGAGGGAAATTCCAAAATCTCCGAAATAATAAATATGGCAACCATATTAATTTATGACCAACTAATCTATGGATCAAATACAACAAAAGTTAGTAAGTTGAAGTTACTAAGGATCAAAAGTGCAAAAATTGAGGGAAATTCCAAAATCTCCGAAATAATAAATATGGCAACCATATTAATTTATGACCAACTAATCTATGGATCAAATACAACAAAAGTTAGTAAGTTGAAGTTACTAAGGATCAAAAGTGCAAAAATTGAGGGAAATTCCAAAATCTCCCAAATAATAAATATGGCAACCATATTCAATGAAAATTTATACATTATTGCAAGCATCTTTAGTTTTCCTGAAATGAAGTATGCAGTTTGGGGATTCTTAGAAAGTCGACATGACAAAGAATAATAAGCCAAATATCTTCTAAAAAATGAAACAATTTTAGTAGGAACTTACCTTGTGAGTGCACTCCTAAAAATATCGTTATCAGAAAAATAAGACACAGATAGTCCATGGCGATCTTACTTGTGTTTCGTTCCGCTTGAATGACTGTATATATTATACTATGTACATGTAGAACTGACCTTACTCCTCTAATCCCATTATCATTTATCATGCATATTCATTGTAATACTATTGTGTTTATTCCTTGGTCACTGTACATTTAACACCTGTATGTTTGATTAATATACGACATGTATTAAATGGATAGGCTTTATCGTCCTAGAAAATCATGCTGAATGCAAAACGTGCCTTATATATTACGGTATCAGAAAATGGAATACCAGACAATTTGTGATGTACAACTTTGAAACGTTATTCAGTAATTTGTAAATATACGAATGCTCTACAAAAAGAAGTGTACCTTTGTCATGCTCAATTTAATTTAACTTTGTTAAAATCACACAATGTATTGGATATTATATCATTGTATTGGAAATTGAATCCTTTTTCCAGTTTCAATTTCATAAATATATATTCATACTGGAATTTGTAGTAATAACTTAAAGGGAGTCATTTCTATTGGCCCATCCTGTAGGAAATGGCCTACTGAAAATAGTCGCTTGGTTTTAAAAAGTATATTTGGAGAGGAAACCAAGACTGTGCATGCTAAAAGCATCTAGCAAGGAATAGATCGGTAGAACTATTCTTACTTTTTGTACCATTGGGATGCATGTTAAATTGACAAAGTTCAAATTAGAATTTCTCAAATCGCAGCCCATCGATTTTCAAAGAATTTCAGAGAAATGCAGCAACACATCTCACCTTCATTATTCGTTACACACATCCGACTTCGTTGATGTACATGATGAATATAGTGTTACATTTTTAAAGGAAAATAATAATGCAACGTAACTATGGCAACAGTCGAATCCCTGGAGAGGAGCAAATATTTGCTCAGAAACAGATATCTCCATAATCAACAAAGGAGACATCGATAACCTACTTACATACTAGTATATTTATCATTTTTATTGTCTCATATAAGTATATATTTTCATCGTTAGGATGCAATAAAAACCAGAGAATTGGTAGTAAATGTGACAACATGTTTTATAAAGTGTGCTTAATATATATTTCAGATATTCTAGAAAATAATCAGTGATAAATAAAGCGAAAATTTTTAATCTCTGTTTAATAGTTACAATGCACGTATACAAAAATCAATTCTATCATCAGAAGACTTTAAGAAGAAGAAATGTTTTTGGTGTATCATTATTTTCGAAGATATTAATTCAAAAGGTTTAACGTTGACGGATAAGATAAGACTTGACTTGAAGATAAGGTGCTCATGATCATCGATCTAAGTATGTTAAGGACTCTTAAGAAAACAAACTCTTCTGGAAATTAATATTAGTGAATAATTAGAAATCGGCAACTCCACAACCACTAGCAAATCAAAGAAAACAAACTATTCATGAATCTGACACGTTACAATGTAATATTTCAGTATAATACAGTCATTTATCCTACACTTAGTGTACTTAATGTATAATAATAACACTAAAAGTAAATTTTATATTTATTGGCAAAATGAATAACCGGGGGATACTCATACTTTGCTGAAAGTCACAATCACAAATTGCTGAAAGTTCAAACATCGGTTGATCGTTTTGGATTTTCTGGGCCTTGAAGCTGAAAAATGATAAGCTATTTGGAATCTACTTTAAGATAATTTTCATTTGAGTACAATAAAGTCATACTTCAGAGAGATCTCAAAATTAGGGGAAAATTCCTGTTTACGAAAAAATAAATGATATGTTGTGCCTTTCTGTGGTGTTTTATTGGGCAGCTGTGTGCTTAAACTATTTAGGATTTCTATTTTGTGTAATCATCAATATTTAGATGTTGTCACCTGCCTATCCCTATTATGACAAATATCAAGATATGATAACATTCAGATAAGATGAGGATAAAAGCCAAAGATATGACACGTGTTTCGAATTGGACATTACTCTTCGTGGTAAGCATTGCGACTCATTGATTTAAATCTTCAATAATTCACTATTTAATTAAATATTGCGGTGACCCCGTAATAACTTTAAGTTTATTCAAAATGTTATTCTAACTCACAGTCGTAACTTATCATTTCTAACTTTTGCGGATATTATATTTTAATGGGTCAAAATTAAGATCTTGCGGATATTGGCGCCAGGGTCATAAAATCTTAGCTGGTCTAATTATTCTTAACACTGTAAAAAATAATTATTTTATTTGTTCATGATATAGCGATGTACTAAATACATTATCATTTTTGTTTTCTAACTGTTTAAGAAACATGAAGGTGCTTGTTTTCGTATGCTTGTGCATGGCAGTAGCTGCTTCGGCAGCCATGGAAAAAGAGCAAGACAAGAGCGAACTGATCAGAAAGGTAAGAATCTTTGCGTATTACTTGCAAATAACATGAATAATATCTTCTAATGAGTCTTCATTATATTTTATATCTGGTCCAGTTGTTAATTGTGGGCCAGTTTTTCCAATATTATATTATAAATTATATTACATGTATCTATCGTAGCCCCCTCCCTTCCAGGATCTCTCATACATATAGGTACAGTATATTACTTGTATAATACTATACCGTAATAACATACTAATAAATAGAATAAGGTTCTAGACAAAGTACTAGATAAATATAAAAAACATGAAAGAATTGAACATTTCAAAGACCTACTACTTTTTAAACATACGCGTTTGCCATGTCTAACTTCTCTATCAGTGTAGGGTATCCTTGGCGAAGAAAGAGTTCTCAGAAGAGTGCCAGGTGTTGAAAGAAATGCGAATCAAAGCAATGGAAGAAAGGAAGAAAGCAATCATGGAAAAGAAAGAAGCTATGGAAAAGAAAAAGGCAATCGAAATGGCTGCTCTGACGAAAAAGGTTATTGTTTCCATTTTGATGGTTTTATCCTTTGATTGTATGAACTCCCATTAGTAGTTGTGATCTTTCAATTTTGTTCTTAAAGTCTACTTGTTAATATATTATTATCTTTTGGATTTCTAAGTGTGAAGCTGCAATGGAGAAGAAGGTCGTATTGAGGGAATGCTATGCCCTAAAGCAGAGACTCGAAGCCATGGAGAGAGTTAAAATTGCGGCTGAGAAGAAAAAGAAAGAGGCCGCCATGATTGAAGCTGAATTCAAGAAACTCCCAGAGGAAGTCCAGAAAAAAATCATCAGCGTAAGAATTTACAATTGTCTAAAATATGACTCTAACACCAATCTACAAATTTAAAATGAACTAAAAAATACCTCTTATATATATCGCCGCTTTGAATCACAGTGTAAGAGTGCCTAGGAATCCGATGAATGCGTCGCACTAAAGGAGAGGTTCAACAATATGATTGCCCAAAAGAAACGAGAATTGGCAGAAAAGATGAGGAAAGAGGAAAGAACCAAGAAGCTGGAGGAGATGAAGAAAGTTAGAGAAGAACGTGAAAGAAAAATGTTGGAAGATTTGGAAAAGAAGTTTGCTGAACTACCAGAGGAAAGTCAAAATGAACTGATTCAGGTGAATTCTACTTAAAATTAGCTTTAATTCTATGCACAACTGCCAAGTAAAAAATAAAAATTGGGAATTTTTCTCAAAATCGGGAAAAGTCGGGATTTCTTAAGAAAAATCGGGGGGAAAATCGGGATTTCGTATCTATGCGTTCAATGCGTTGTAATAAATATCTCAGTTCCAGAACGATCGATTAAAGAAAATTCTGCTTTCAAATAGTTTAAAGAAGATTAAATAAGCAAACAGTACGTTGGATGTGTAGTTAGGTAATATGTTTTATCACAAAAATGCGTTTGCATATTTCTTTTCACCATGTTCTAACTTTCACTGTAATGTAGATGCGTTTCAATTGTTCGGAATTTCTCAGTGCCAGAACGTTCAATTTATTTCTGGTCTAAAATACTGTAGTTAAAAGAAGATGAAAGAGCTTTACAAGTGTATATCGTAGGTGTACTTAGTTAATGTATTATGTTTTATCACAAAACCTATCGTATACTTTCATTTTAAAGAAATAAAGAAGTATTGGAATTACTTCAGCCATATCTTTTTATTCTTCAATAACTCATATTTGAAAATTTCCATGTTCAATGTGTTTTTATATGCCTCAACTTTGGCTGTTATGGTATTCGTGACGTCTTTTTAATTGTTTTGTTAAGCTCATCACTGAGAAACATCTCCAATAATGTCAACCTTCGCTGTCGGACTTATCTTTCTCTTCTCTCTGCATCCATTCACACATCTGTAAAACAAACAATAGTAATAAAGGAAATTCTCAGATAAGCCTTAATTAAGCTGTTTCCTCCTGTTCATCCTCCAATCGTTTTGATGAGTTTAAATGATAAAACATATATTCCTGCATACGTTTTCACTTGTTGAGCACTTGTCAACATTACCATTTACTTATTATTAAGGGGTTTAACAGGGGTCCACAAAAAAATAAAAAATATTAGATTTTGATATTTTTGAAGTTTACAATGATTATCTACTAATCAATCGGTTTTGTGGAAGGTTATTTGCATGACATATTGATTTTATCTGTTTAATTAAATAAGATCACCTGACTATATTTTGCATTTAAAATGATTGAAATTAATTGTTTCATTTAGTTCACTTTCTTTTAACATCATCTTGTTTTTGTTGATCCGCCAATTGTTTTAATATGTTTAAATGATAAAACATATATTCCTACATACGTTTTCACATGTTGAGCACTTGTCAACATTACCATTTACTTATTATTTAGGGTTTGATAGAGGTCCACAAAAAAAAAATATATATATAGATTTTGGTATTTTTAAGTTTACAAAGGATTATCTACTTAGGAATCGGTTTTTGAGAAGGTTATTGGCATGACCTGTTGATTTTATCTGTTTAATTGAAAATAAGATCGTCTGTCTGATTATATTTTGCATTCAAAATGATTAAAAACAATTGTTCCATTTAGTTCACTTTCTTTTAACATCATCTTGTTTTTTGATGATCCGCCAATTGTTAAATGATATGTTTAAATGATAAGACATATATTATCATATACATTTTCACCTGTTAAGGACCTGTCAACATTACCGTTTACTTATCATTGAGGGGTTTTACAGGGAGGGGTCAACAAAAATATCAGATTTTGATATTATTGAAGTTTACAACAGATTATCTAGTCATTAATCAGCTTTTGGAAAGTTTATTAGCATGACATATTGATTTTATCTGTTTAGTTAAAAATAAGATCGTCTATCTGATTATATTTTCCATTCAAAATGATTAAGAACAATGGTTCCATTTAGTTCACTTTCTTTTAACATCATTTTGTTTTTTGTTGATCTGCCAATTGTTTTGATGTTTAAATGATAAAACATATATTCCTACATACGTTTTCACCTATCCAGGACCTGTCAACATTACCATTTACTTATTATTGAGGGGTTTAACAGGGAAGGGTCAACAAAAAAATAGATTTTGATATTTACAACAGATTATCTAGTCATTAATCGGCTTTTGGAAAGTTTATTAGTATGACATATTTATTTTATCTCGATGTACATTAGATGTTCAAGAGACCAATAAACTTATTAATTAATTATTGATGGGTTTAACAGGGGTTCACAAAATAAAAAATATTAGATTTTGATATTTTTGAAGATTACAACAGATTATCTTCTCAGTAATCGATTTTACGAAAGGTTATTTATATTAGTATGACATATTGATTTTATCTAAGATCGTCTGTTTGACTATATTTTGCATTCAAAATGATAAAAAATAATGGTTCAATTTAGTTCACTTTCTTTTAACATCATCTTGTTTTTCGTTGATCGGCCAACGAAATTGTTAAATAATATGTTTAAATGATAAAACATATATTCCTACATACGTATATTCAACATTACCATTTACTTATCATTGAGGGGTCAAACAGAAGTCCATAATAATGAAAAATATTACATCTTGACACTTCTGAAGTTTACAACGAGCTACCTACTTATGAATCAGCTTTTGGAAAGGTCATTAGCACGATATATTGATTTTATCTGTTTAATTGAAAATAAGATATCCTGTCTGACTATATTTTGCATTCAAAATAATTAAAAATAATGGTTCCATTTAGTTCACTTTCTTTTAAGATCATCTTGTTTTTCGTTGATCCACCAATTGTTAAAGGATATGTTTAAATGATAAAACATATATTCCTACATACGTTTTCACCCGTCGAGGACCTGTCAACATTACCCGTTACTTATCATTGAGGGGTTTAACAGAGGTCCATAATAATGGAAAATATTAGATCTTGGCACTTTTGAAGTTTACAACGAATTATCTACTTATGAATCGGCTTTTGGAAAGATCATTAGCATGGTATATTGATTTTATCTGTTTCATTGAAAATAAGATCTTTTGTCTCACTATATTTTGCATTCAAAATGATTAGAAATTTAGTTCAATTTAGTTCACTTTTTTGAACACAATCTTGTTTTCATTGATCTGCCAATTGTTTCTGCCTATATCCCTACATATGTTTTCACCTGTTGAGCATTGAAACTGAGCAATGTTTACATTTTAAACCCTTGGAAAAAGCATTTGATCGCATATAATATTGCATTTAAATCATAATCTAAGATGGGTTAAGAATTTATTCCCACTATTTATGAAAATAGATTTTGACATCAATAAAGCATATGATATGATGTGGGGTGAAAGGATATATAATTTTTGCGATACGGGCTATCTCTACTAGGAAATAACTTTAGTAATAGAAAAGCTTTTACCCTGATTATTTTATTTAGTAGAAAATAGACTATCCCATGAGGCAATGCTAGAACCCAAACTTTCTATTGAAATTAATTAATACCCAATATTTTTTCTCGAATAGGTATTCAGCTGTATCAAGCTCCTGATCATCCAGTATTTCTTTAATATTGCCCGCAGAAATGTTGTAATTAGTATTATTGCTTAGGTCGATAAAGTAGCATAAATGCCACCGAAACTAGCATTAATACCCCTAAAACATGCCCGGCAAGGTGGTAATGATAGTAATTGATCAGAGAACTGTCCACACAAATATTCATCTTTTTGAATTAAACTTGAATTAAATCTTCAATAAATGAAAATCTGAACCATTTTAGGATATTCGAAAAATTCAGTTTGCCATGTTTATAGTATTCACATACCAAATATGAACAAAATCGCTCCACAAAGTTTCGAGTTGTAGTAGAATACGTAAAAGTGGCATCCATTTTTAAAATGGCCGCCTTCTACTAAAAGTGACATTAGACATTGTGCCATACCAAATATGAACAAAATCGTCCCACTACTTTTCGAGTTACAGCAAAAATCGTAAAATAACTAGTAAAGGCCGCCATTTTTCAAGATTGCTGCCATGTGCTTCTTTAATATCTACATTTCTAGCTTTATTAATGTCCTACACTCCCATCCATAAGTTTGGCAACCTTAGCTCCTCCATTGATCTACGTGTTAAAGCCTCTATACGTTTGAATTTTTATTTACTTAACCTGCGATAAAATAACTTACAATATTGGTGAAAAACTTGACTTTATATCTAATACCTCCAAATTTTATCAATTTTTTTCCTCAAATACAACAGGTCGAATATTGATGATAAATTTGATGAATTTTTGAAAATCGTCATTCCCATGTAATCCAATGAAAAATTGAGGGTTCAGGGAAAATGATAAATCAGGATATCTTTTCAGTAAAAGATTCAGCAAAAAAAAAAATTTTATATAGAAAATTAAATTGTCTAACTTTTTGTACACTAAGTGTTCAGTTTATTTGATGAATACTAAAGTTATAGCGCTTCAAAGTCATTTTTGAAAATAATTTTTCGACTCCTTTGTTATTTCTTATGGTCACATTTTTTACAAGTTTAGTCAACCTAGAAATAAAATACGTTATCCTTATCTAATCATGACAAACTTCACAGGGTAGCAAGATCTCGAGGACAATATTTCGAAAATGTTTTTGAATTTTAAAAAACGGTCAAGAAATCCACTTGGGGCGTTAGTAAAAATTGATATGTATGGAATTTGTGGTAAAAAATCGATGCGTCACATTTTTTTCAAGTCTCGAAAACCAGCTCTCATTTTGATATTATTTGCAAAATAAACAAACTGGTTATTGTTTTGTAAATTTCGCCATGGCAATATTGTGCAGTTAATTTTTCTTTCAAATCAGACCTAAATTAGAAGGTTAAATGAAAGTAAACTTATTGCTCATGCCATTCGCCTTCAAAACCTTACACAATTTTGAAAATTTTAAAAAGCGTTCATATACGATAATTTGAACTGTAGCCGTTAAGCAATTGTGACGTCATAAATGCACATGTTCTAATGAATAAATTGCAAAATTTTAGTGGGATTTTGATCATAATTTCAAAAGTTATCCCAATTTCAACGAGCCCTGTAAGAGCAAAGTGTTACGTCTTACAGCGTATTTGACGATGTCGGGATATATTTAACTTACAAAATATGTTGGATCCCATCAAAATTTTGGGGGAA